GGATTCCACAAAGATCCAAGTCACCAAGCGAACGTCATGGTAAATTTTCAAAGAGATTTCACCCTTATCATCAAGAAAAATCAAAGTTAAAGTGCTTTAATTGTCGCGAGGTAGGTCATGTGGCAGGCCACTGTTCGAAACCAAAGAAAGAGTGAACTAAATGTAAGCGTTTGGGACATTTGGCAGCGGATTGTAGACGTAGTACCACCCTTACCACTGGTGCCGTTTTTTCAAGCACAGAGAAATTAAATAGCCACCAAAGTAATTACTTTGCAGATTGTTTGGTAAATGGCATTCAAACGAAAGCTTACGTTGACTCCGGCTGTGCTGGTGTTTTAGTTAGGGAAAAAGAAGCCAAAACATGGGGCTTAAAGATAATACCAGTAAATGTACGTATACAAGGGTACGGCGATGGTTTTACTAGAGCTTTGGGAAAATGTAATATTCACTTGCAAATAGACTTGGCAAAAGTAGATGTCGAAGCGTTAGTTATTGGTACTGTCACACAAAATATTCCTGTGATTGTCGGACAGCCAGTTATCAATTCAAAGGGCACATCTATGATAGTGCACAAGGGCAATGTAAGATTGATAAATAGTGAAGAGGAATCAGCAACAATTTCCAAGGCGATTGCGCAGCTACCAGAAAAAAAAGTGGTTCTTTGGGCTAAGGAGGCAACAGTGATACCACCAAACCATGTTGGGCACATCATGGTGTCATGTGGGAAAAACAATTACCAAGGAGAATTGTACATTGAAAGACAATGCAGACCGAAGCCAGGATTGGAACATTTTGTCCCTGGTTGTATAACAACTTCTGAAAATGGAACCGTTCCTATTTGCAATTTAAGTGACCAGGTGTTGGCAATAAAACGAAATCAAGTTGTAGCCAGAGCATATCCATGTCAAGAAGAACCTGAACCTGAAGTATTGGTAAGTGTTTTGCATGCCAATCTTAGTAATGCAAGAAAACTATTTTGCATGAGTGACATTGATTCCCAAGTTGATGCATGTTTAAGTATCGAAGACAAACAAACGTTGTTGTCATTGTTAAACGAATATCGCGACTGCTTCGCAGAAAGTACCCGCGAGCTAGGAAGGGTGAAAGGCACCGAAATGTCGATAAAGTTAGTCGACGAAAGTCCGGTGACTTATCGTCCTTATCGATTAGCAGTCTCGGAGCGCGAAAAGGTCCGCGATATTGTAAATGATTTGATGGAAAACGAGATTATAAGAGACTCCGAGTCACCATATGCGAGCCCTATTCTACTAGTTAAGAAGAAAAATGGAGATGTTAGAATGTGTGTAGATTATCGTGCCTTAAATTCGAAGACAGTCAAGGACAAATATCCCTTGCCAAGAATTGACGATCATTTGGAGAAACTAAAAGGGGCTCGATTTTTCACGGGGCTGGATTTAGCATCGGGGTATCATCAAATTCCCATGTCTAAGGATTCTATCGCGAAGACTGCTTTCGTAACACCTGACGGGCACTATGAATATCTCCGTATGCCTTTTGGTCTAGTATGTGCACCATCTGTTTTTCAAAGGACTATTAACGCTGCGTTAGGCTCATTAAGATTTTCAAAGGCTTTAGCGTATATGGACGATGTACTTATCCCATCGAAGGATATAACGGTAGGACTTGAAGCTTTAAGGGATGTTCTCGATGCCTTTAGGAAGGCGAATCTTACTTTGCGTCTTGCAAAGTGTTATTTTTTTAAACCTCAGATAGAATACCTGGGTCATGAAATTGATGCCGAAGGCATTAGACCAGGATCAATGAAAATAACAGCGGTAGAAAAATTTCCGGTACCGAAAAGTGTTCGAGAGGTTCGACAATTCCTAGGTCTGTCGAGTTATTTCCGTAAATATGTGAAGGATTTCGCCAACATAGCACGACCATTAACTTTTCTAACGAAAAAAGAGGTAGAGTTTTCTTGGGGAGAACCACAGCAAAGAGCTTTCGAAATTCTGAAAGAAAAACTAATGAGCAGACCAGTACTCGCTCTGTATGATCCTGCAGCATCTACCGAGTTGCATACTGATGCATCTAAATTTGGTTTAGGTGGAATCCTACTACAAAGACAAAAAGATGACACATTAAGACCAGTATTGTATTATAGCAGACAAACAAGTAAAGATGAGCAACGCTATCATTCGTATGAGTTGGAGACGTTGGCGGTTGTGTGTTCTATTAAACAGTTTAGAGTTTACTTGTTAGGAATACCCTTTAAAGTAGTTACGGATTGTAATGCCCTACGAACTACACTCTCTAAGCGAGATCTCATTCCACGTATAGGAAGATGGTGGTTAAGTATCCTAGAGTTCGATTTCACTATTGAATACCGACCCGGAACAAAGATGGCGCATGTTGATGCCCTAAGCCGGAACGCTTTAAAAGTGTCTAACGAAATTGTCGAAAATATTAATATCAACACGGTGAATCTAAGTGATTCAGACTGGGTACTAGCTGCTCAGATAAAAGATGAAAGGTTAAAGTACCTAAATGAAGTTCTGTCACGTAAGCCTGTTGACAAAGAAGAACGAGAAATTCATAAAGACTATGAATTAAAGAAGAATTGTGTGTATCGAAAGACTGGAAATGGTCCAAAGTGGGTGGTACCACGGGCAGCTAGAAGATCAGTTACGATGCATCACCACGATGGCAAAGGCCATTTTGGACTAGAAAAGACTCTAGCTTCCATAAGTGATTTTTACTGGTTCTCTGGCATGCGACGTTATGTTCAGAAATACATTTCGAATTGTTTGGGTTGTATGTATAATAAGGAGCCTGCGGGAAAGAAACCTGGCTTATTACACTCAATCGAGAAGGTTACGAAACCTATGGATACGATCCATGTTGACCACTTAGGCCCATTCGTTAAAAGCAAGAAGAAGAACAGTTACTTGATCGTTGCTGTAGACGCTTTCACCAAGTTCACGTTTATGAAAGCTGTACAGAATACTAAAGTAGTATCAGTTATAAGATTCTTGGAAGATATACTTGAAACGTTCGGAGTACCAAGACGTATCATATGTGATCGTGGATCAGCTTTTACGAGCAAAGCATTCACTAAGTTCACAAACGATCTCGGAATAAAAGTTATTCTTACGGCATCAGCCACACCACGTGCAAATGGACAGGTTGAAAGATACAACCGCACGATTTTGTCCGCATTATCCGCTACGTTCACGGAAGAAGACAGTTGGGATGAAGCCATACGAGTAGTCAGATGGGGAATTAATTCCACAATTAATAAGTCTACTGGCAAAAGTCCATACGAATTGTTCTTCGGATATAAAGCTCGTGGCATGAGCGATGCATTTTTAAGTAATTCCGTTAGTTGCAACGAGCAACCGGTTGATATTGAAGCAGCTCGGGAAATTGCCGATGCAAATATACGTAAGTCTCAAGAATATCAAAAAAATAAGTACGATTCACGACGATGTAAACCTATCATTTACGAAGTAGGGCAACAGGTTCTATTGCGAAAAGACATTGTGTCAAACGATGGACGCAGTAAAAAGTTATTACCCAAATATAGTGGGCCTTATCTTATAACAAAAGTGTTAGAACATGACAGATACGTTGTCGAAGACCTCCCAGGCTCTCAAAGATCCCAAAGAAAATATACTGGAGTCCACGCTGTGGACAAGTTAAAACCGTATCGCACAGATTTAAGTGATGACGATGATGATCAAGGGAGCATCGACTCTCAAGTGTCAAATGTGGATGCTTAACGAGGGAATCAATGGGTAATGAGAAGGTTAAAAGTTAATTCTGTTTTTTGCCTTTAGGTAACTACCCCACAATGAGAAACCCTCGAGGACGCGGGTACAGTAGCGTGGACGACTGTAAGAAATATCGAATCTGCGTTCAGGATGTATCACGTATTATAGTTATTACATAACGCTTTTGTCTGATTAATTGTATTTACGTTTAAGTTGAAATCATTCTGTTACGCACTCCCGGCGAGTTCGGTCGTGGTTTATTATAATTGTTTTTCTATAATTTAAGTTAGTTTTGAATAAATACCTATTAATTAAAGTGTTTGAGTTTTTTGTTAATATCGCCTTCATTTATATGATTTTTTATTTGTTTTTAACATCTGGATGATTTGATATATTTTTTATATTTAATTATTTTACATTACTCTATTGTACACCAACGTCTAATTTTACATCGTTAAATACATAAAAAAATAAATTGGTAATTTGTATTTTATCACAATTTGTTTAAAAAGCGTATACAGGGTGTCCCAAATTTTAGTAGCAGGACTCTACCAAAAAAATACGAGGAAACGAAATCAATTGTTTTATTTGGTTCTAGTACAAGTAAAAAATGACCTTGTAGGTTACTCAGTGGCGTATGGATATATATAATAATAGTTATTTATGTCATAAAGCTGAAAGCACAAAAATACACGTCTCAGCCGAATGACATACAAGGCACAGTTTTATTTGTTAAACGATACATAAAACGTACTTATAATTGGACCCCGTTATGCAACAAAGAACCAAACAACATATTACAACAGTTACGAGAAAATGAGGAAAAACGTTTCAGACTTTTGGTTACAAAATTTATTTATAAAAACACTTTTAAACTGAACAAACGCTATCATATTTTACTATATATGAACAGAACAATAATTTTAATGAACAAAAACACTTAAAAAGTTATTCCAAGTATGGAAAAAATACCTGGTTACCTATTGCTTAATTGAAAATTTAACAAACATCACTTGGGTCCGCAACCAAGTTACAATAAAAATAAAAAAACTTACGTATGTCAAAAAATAAAAGTTTTACTCTAAAAACAGAAAAACACTTGGTTCTATATCGCGGAACAGGAAAAAATATATTATTGGTCAAAGTCAAAGTCTAACTCGACATTATAACCGTCTATGTCTTCCTCTATTGAAGGGTCTCCTATTAGACTAGTATAAAAATTATGATCAGCCTCAGTAATAAGATGCAAATAACTGCGTATGTCATCTAGTTTTGGCTGAGCCACCTATTTCTTTTATATGGAGCCTTTTCACATTCACAACTTTTCTTTCTGTTAACAATTACTTTTTCTAATGCCCTAGTGCTAACGAAATCATCTTTTTTTATTTTATGTACGTCAATGGGTCGCTTCTTTCTACATGTTTTCATGATGTTTATGTAATCTTGAGGGCAACATACTTTATTTTGTCTGCATTCTACGTCACCGAAGTCGCTATCGTTCGGTAGGAAACTATGACCAGACACCAGAAACCTTCATCTAATACTTTTTAAATGTACCGAATCCTCAAGAATACTTTTTAGCAAGAGAACCATTTTTATATTGCGATTCTGGCCACCGCAGGAATCGTTGGATAATGGTTTCCACAGATTCGGATACAGCACTAGATAAAATATATTTATTTAAACAGAAACCCACTTCTTGAGCTCCACGGCCCGCTTCCCCTTCGATCCAAACATTAAAAGTGGATTTTTTTGCTTTCCTGAATATATCCCACAATTAAAGAGCCATAACTGTCTTTTGTAAAATATGATATTAGTAGTTAGCTGAGGAAGAGGTGGCGTCTTCTCCATGTCGAAAGTTAGCGTTTCCGTTTTATCGTCAGTGTCTGCTTTAGAAAGATCTAAATTCATTTTTTTTCTGGCTGTCTCTGCTTGTTCCAAGTGTAAATTCTTTTCATTTTCGATTCTAACTTTTTCATCTCCTTCAGGTAAACTTTCCATTTTTGTGCTAAACGCATCACATTTATTGCAAGTATCTTTTTTTGGGTTTTTCTGTCTTTAATTAAATTCCGTTAAAAATATTTTTTTACATGTAGAGAAGCTTACTGAAATATTTAAATTTTCAATCTTGTAAAGGTTGTACATGACTAGCAATGTTGTTCCTTCTTTCAAAAACTCTTGGTCTAGTCTTTTGACCCTACAATAATGCGATTTATATCGGGGGAATTTGTTTATGTGGGAGACTACGGCTTTTGTTCATTTGACATTTTATTGTGTCCTCCGCTAATACCACGCCTATCTAGTACTGTCAAAGTTCTTACTTTTTGAAGAGCAGTGTTTATACGTTTAGTTGAAATACGTAAAATGTTAATGAACAAGTCTCTGCAAACGGCTACTTTGTTTACAAAGTACTGTCTCTTATTGGGATCCCTTGCACTCACTATTTTCCTTTGTACCGGTTGTTCTCTTACGCATGTTGACAGATATGTAGTCTGCACATTATAGTCAGCCAAATTCCAAAAATGATTAAAAAATTTTCGTTGATCCTCTATTGATAACTTTTCATTACACTTCGATGAACACGTACATTTATATTCAACAAATTCTTTCGGTTTTGTAAGTTTTCCTTTTGCCGTGTAATATTCCTGGTTGCTATTTCTTAATATTTTTCTTGTCTTCCTATCCTGTCCTGGAAACCTTCTTTTTCTGCCCTTTCTCGGTCTTCCCTTACTAATTTCCAAAACTTGCTTATTTTCCTCTTCTAAAACTGGCTCATTCTCCTCTTCTTCATCAGAATTTTTTTTCTGAAGACACTTCCTCATAATCGGGCTGATAAGTTTTATCTTTAATAGAGTCATCAGAGTCCTCATTTAACGTTGTGTCTTGCCATTGGTGTTGTTCCTCAGCTAGATGTAAGAAAGTATTGGTAGATTACTGTTATGACCAGCTTTTCCATTAATATTTTCTTCATTCTGTGCCATCTGAGGTGTACAAACATTATTCTGCGATACTAAGTTTGTGTCTTCTAATATCAGTAGTACACGTTGAGACACTATTTGTTTAAACATTTTAAAAAATAATAATATACCATATAATGACAGGCACTACTGCACAACAATGAATATGCCGGCAACAACAATAAACAGAGAACGCCGTGAAACACGTGGGAATTTCGCAAAAGGGAACCAACACATCTCAGAATTAGCAAAAGGGAACCAAGTAACTTTGGATCTTTATAGTAAATTACAATCGATATAGTGGTTATGCAAGAAAGTTCTATCGTCCGCCAAATGGCGCTAGAGCTCGCGTAACAATTTCTAACTTGGGAATATGTATTACCGGCGCGCCAATCAAAATGTCAAATTTGTATGTGTAAATTGAAAATTATCTCTTAAAAATAGACAAATGTTTAAATGATAAAATAGAAGTAGTTTTTCACAGTGAAAGTGAAGAAAATATTTTATGGGCAGTTCAATCAAGTGAAGAAAATATTTTATGGGCACTTAAATCTAGTTAACTGTTGGCAAAATCAAAAGGTCAGTAAAAACTTGCATATAAATTTTTAATTACGTATTGGCGTGGAGAAACTATTTAATACTTTTTATTTTTGTATAAAGCAACAATTTGCCAATGTGTATTTAAGATCGCTTAGTGTCATGGAAATATGTACGATAATGGGCGTATTAAAGGTGGAAGTTTGGAGAGTAGATAACTTGGACACGGTGTATACAAAATAATAAGTGATTTGCATTTGATTAATCTTTTATTTAACGTAGTATTGGTTAAGTATTTTTTTGTGTGTTAACAAAACAATTTTTAAAATTAAAATAAAGACGTGAAACTTAAAAACAGTGTTTTTTTATACATTTATGCATTAACGTTTAAAATAAGTCAGAATTACTAATAACGCGTTAAAATTTAAAGTGTGGAGCCCACATCATGTGAGCCACATGGTTTTTGAAATACACATGACGGTGATTAACTTTTTCATTCTTTCGCTTGGTGGAAATCAAATCGACTGTATTTTAAATATTAGGTAGGTACTAAAAATAATTGCCTACGCTTTATTAAGTTAAGGCCCTTCACTTAAGGGGAATAAGAAATATAAATTGTAAATAGGTTAAGCGAATAATAGTTATATAGTATATGTATATATACATATATTATACATATCTACTAAAAACATACCTTTACATTGGTACATTTTAAAAATTTAGTTTTTCATTGATGTAAAAGCCATTTGAAAGGTCCCCTCTGCCTAATTTATTGAACTTAAACGTTCAGCAAGTTAAACATGAAACACAATGAATATACACATTAAAAAAAAATTGGCTGTACCATTTTTACACTGTAATAAAAACATATTAAATCGTTATTAATATGTTTTTTCTACTCCCACCTTTAAAACGCCCTTTATCGTACATATTTCCATGACACTAAGTGACCTTTTAAATACACATTGACAAGTTGTGGCTTTACGGCGTTTTAGTCACGGGTTGAAGTTAGCAACAGGTTTTTAGTCATGAGCTGAAATTAGCTTTGAGTTAGTTGACAGTTGTCAAATGTCATACAATCGTTAAAATAAAGTGCCCTTCTTCTAAAATAATACTAAATGAAAAAATTATTTTATTATCTCAATACAAAAGCATTAAATAGTTTCTCAACGCCAATATTTGAAGAGTTTATATGAACATTGTACTGACCTTTTAATTTCGCCGGCAGTAAACTAGATATAACTTAAAGTCGGACTCCACCGTGAATTGGAAATAAAACATTTTTTTCACTTTCAATGTAAAAAACTGTTGTTTAATAAATTTTCAAGTAATACATTTTGATTTATTATCAATGTTTATAAAACATACAAATTTGACATTAGACAGATTCCCCCTATTGTTTTATAGATGGCGCTCTATACAAATACTTAATTTAAATCATTTTTAGATAATAATTAGTATTTATCGTAGAAAAAGTATAGTATGCAACTCGTTTATAAACTTTTCTTAATTTAAGCACACGCTCGCAAGCTCGCTCGTGCCTAAATTAAAACTTGATACATAATATACTATTATGATACGATAATGATAATAATAATGATAATAGTATTATCTACTCTTACATTTGACTAACTGTAAACTTATGTCATTTTAGTCACGGGCTGAAGTAAGCTTTATTATAAATTGCGGAAAAGTGAGGTTAAATTCGTCAGATGTCAAATATTTATGAATTAAAATTGGCTTTAAATTCTTATTTCTATTCGTCGTAGATAAAGTATAGTATGCAAGTCATTGTATAAACTTCTCTAGACACTAGTTTTTATTAAACACTCGCTGGCGAGCTTCGCTTTTGCATAATAAAACTAAAATGGCGTTTATAAAACTTGATACATAATATACTATTTTAAATGGGGTTATGTTAAATTGAATAAGCTAGCCAAATTTTCCATGAATATGTAAATATTTCCATATTATACACTTTAAATTACGCGTTAGGGGAATATTTTATGTAGATTGAGACAACTGAGTTTGGGTTGGTTACTAAAAATTCTAGTAAATTGGGGACAGCTTTGATATATGAGCGCTTTTGTGTTTAGTAATGATTCCAAAACCCATATTTGTAGCATACGTGTGCTGTTTGGCAACTATTCCTTTACTGTAAAGTAGTAATTACAAAGCTTATTGAAAACAAATAAAAAACCGTTGTAAATGTATCTTTTAGGCATGTGGTGATTTGTTAAACTTAAAATGACTATAAAAATACTGGAAAAGTGTGACAGACAAAAAAAAGGTATGAATAATTAGATTAAAGGTTAAGATTAGTTTTTATTGCCTGTGCAAGAGTTTAATAGAAATAATTAATAACTATTTTTAACTTTTACACAATGAATGTACACAATTAAATTAGTTATTAATTAATTTTACAAAATGCACAAGATAAGGTAGGAAATACCGAGTAAATACCATTGACCATAAATGACATAAAATGTCATAAAATGACATAAAGCATAAATGCATAGCCGACTACATAGAAAAATATTGGGAAGTTGTTTCCAATAGTGTTTGGTAATCATTCCCAAACTTTTAGTATTGAATATCACAATTTATTAACATACAGGTTCCACCATGAATTTTTTTATTTTAAGATGTCGGTTAAATTTCAAGCGTATTAATATAAAATAAATAAATTGGAAAAAGGCTAGCAATTCTCAAAATATTAAAAAAAAATCACTCAAAACCTTTTAAAACCAAAAATCGTTGTAACTTCGTTATTCCTAGGATTTTTGAAAAAAAAAGTGAGTTTTACACCTAAACATACACATTTATATACATAATATATGTATTGTCATCCAATTTCTTTCCTACTATATTATGAGTGACCATCACCACAGGGGCGGACATATGAAATTAATTTTTAACCTGAGCCACGACGACGATTTCATTCTTATTTAACAACTAAGAAATTGTATTTTTTTTTAATTTACTGCTTCTACCATTTTTTGTATTCTCGAGAAGGTCTCGCAGTTTGTTTATTGTTATATTAATGTATTATATCATTTTCATAACCTTTAATTAATACTTAGCAAACATTTTATTTTGTACCAAGTTTGTATTATATGTAATTCATACTATACATAGGATAAAGCCGGCCCTGTGGTGTATCGTATTAAAATTTGAAATACGGCCCTAATGGCAGGCGTGTAACGTATGCTTTAATAGATGGTTTGTTTACGTTAGACTTTAACGTAGTCTTTTTGTTTATTAAGAGCTTTAATTTGTGGCTGGCCTGTAAGTTTATGCGTATATTATATAATATATATAATACAATAATATAATATTGTGACGTTCTTACTTGATTTGTTTTTTTTTTACACTCCTACGCTGTTATCGATAATTATTAATTATTGCCAGGTTTTTGTTACAGATTTGCGTATTAGGTCATGCTATGATACTTATCAGAATCTGCAGGTGATGATCCCTTCCACTCTTGGTTAGACTCGTTTTTTCTTTAAATAGGTGATTCCTTGACCTGTCCCCTGTCATTTTATTACTTCCGTGTCCGCATGGACCTCACCGATGAGAGATTGCCTTTTGAGGAATTATTTAATGTTTCTATTAATCCTTTGGAGAACAGGTACCCTGATGTCACCTGTACAGGTATGTAGTAACCCAAAATAGTAGCACTGTTTCGCACCGCACTTTACTCGACTACACTGTATATAATATTTATGCTTCTTTAAGAATTTTATTGTGGATAGGAACGCTCGAGAGCGCTCGAGCTCTAACATCCACTCTCTTACCCGTTTGATTTGAAAATAATTATTTTTTGTTCGAAATTAAATTTTTTATTAAAAAATATAAAAAATATATTTAAAAAAAAAACGTTACTTTTGTAAACCCGACTTTCAATTGTTTTTCTGTTTTAACCATTTTAATCAGAAGAAATGCCATCAATTTGCTATTTTAACCGACTTTCCAATAATATTGGAGTTATGGTGAGCAGATAACCTTGGACATGGTGTTTATTATAAGGGAATATGTAACAAATAATGATTTGATTTGAATAAATCCTTATTATTTAGGATTCATTACCTGTAACAATCAATACCCAACAAAATGTTAAAAGTTGGTCAAATGTTCCGTATATATTATAATACAAAATATGTTCTGGTTTTACAAATATAGTAAGTAAGTTTAAATAACGCATTAAAGTTCACTTGTTTCAGTGTAGTTTTTGAATTATTATTCATCAAGTGTCAAGTAGGCATAAAAACACATTTTTTTCACAAAATATTTGTTACCATGCTGTAGTTATTATTATTAATATT